GAAAACAAATTTTTTATACAATCTGCAATCTTACTGTCGACAAAAATTTGTAGCAGAAATTGACAAAATCTGTTTGAACAGACTTTGCTGACTGGAATGTTAAACCTTCTTGCAGCTGTGATTGCTAAACTAAAATAATGGCTACTACATTCAAAATATACGTTTGGAACGCTAATGGTTTGACCCAAAGATGCAAGGAACTTAAATATTTTTTGCATGAGCATAACATAAACATAATGCTCATCTCGGAAACACATTTCTAAAAAAAAGTCATCTAAATATCCCGGAGTATTCCATCTATGACACGCAACACCCGGACTGCACATGGTGGTACAGCCATCATCATCAGTAAAACAATAAAACATCATGAAAATGAAAAATACACAAGAATATTTATAAGTAACCAGCATTGCGATAGAAGATCAGAGCCGATCACGTTAGTAGTCATATACAGTCCTCCTAAACATACAATTAAACAAAACCAATATACCTGCTTTTTTACAACGCTAAGTAATAGGTTTATCGCTGGAGGAGACTACAACGCAAAGCACCCATGATGGGGCTCTAGATCGCCTGTACCCACTCCAAACGGACGACAACTTTACCAATCAATACTCGAAAACAATCTTCATCCTATTAACTACTAGAGAACCAACATATTGGCCTATCGAAGATAAAAACCCGACGTTATAGATTTCTACATAAAGAGTTAAAGAAATATCAATTTAAAGCGGAATCGAGTTATGATTTAACATCTGACCATTCTCCAATACTCATCACACTTAATGCGTCTATTTTGATAAAAGATAAACCTCTAACTCTATGCAATAAAAAACTGATTGGAATTTATTCAGAGATAGCCTAAACAATCAGTTAACATGCAAGATACAATTGAACCAGAGAAGAAATTGAGATGGCAATTGACACCTTTACCATCACAATTCAAAAAGGCTGCTTGGGAATCTACTCCAGAGGAGCAAAACCCCGAGAATATAATGCAATGTTCAACAAATATTAAAATCAAAATAGCAGAAAAAAGAAAACTTCGTAAAGAATGGCAGAAATCAAGATCACCACACGATAAAGCAAAGTTCAATAAAGCGGCGAAGCAACTGAAAAAGATAATAAATAAAGAACAAAACAAAGCTTTAGAAGAATTCTTTATAAACTTCACACCTGCAGAAGCCTCAGATTATTCGCTATGGAAAGTCACAAGAAAAATAAGAAGAAACCCTCAAGATGATTCCATCCATTCGTCAATCAAATGAAAAATGGGCTAGAACCAACAAAGAAAAAATTAACTTATTTTCTGAACATCTTAAAAAGGTTTTTGAGCCATACCCACAAGAATCTTCAGAAGATCAAGAAAGAGAAATCTTAAATTTAGAGACATCGTTACAGATGGAAATGCTTATTTAAAAACGAAGGAAGTCCAAAAAACAATACAAAATCTAAAGGGATACAAGGCGCTAAGATACGATCTAATTACCGGGAAGATTCTAAAAGAGTTATCGCAAAAGGCATTATTTATTACTATCGTCTTCAACGCTATGCTACCCACAGGGCACAAAGACGTCTAAAAGACGACTAAAACTGGACATATTTTCGTCAAAGACGTCTTTTAATTAGAGACAATAGTCGACGAAAAGTCGACTAAAAGTCGGCTCATGACCCGAATTTAGTTACTAATCTGTCAAGCCAAAAAATGACTAAAAGATGACTAAAAGACGACTAAATCATATCATAATTTTTAAACGAAACATATATATTTCAATCCCTAAATAATAATATAATTTATCTATTTCATATAAAATTTTACATAAAAATTTTGTATAAAAATTTTATTTATAATTTATACTTGCATATTGCACTTTACATCTTAAATAGATAATGAAAAATTATTTTCGTTTATTCGCCGGACATTTACTTGTCTGACTTATAAAATCAATTTAATATCTGAAACCCGTACTTTAGATCAGAAATTAAATTGAACAATACATTTTTAATCTTATTTGTTATCTTTTGCAAACTTTATATAATTCTCATAACTGAAACTTAAATACGAGAAAGATAGCGCATCGCTCGTCGCGTAGCGGTAAACGAACGAACTAATACATGCTTGCGTGCTTGCGAGAAACTTTGACCTCCAAGACCGGACATCCAAATTGTGGACGTCCAAATATTGACCGTTAACGGATGTCTTAAATCGGATGTACGATGGACGTATATTTTATGTCCGTGAACGTGCGGACGTAAAATGGACATAAAATGAATATCCATAGAATGTTCTGTGTTGTCTGGGTTTGGACGTACAAATTCTAGACTTTAAAAGGTCGACGAAAGGATGTCTTATTTTAGTCGTCTTTTCGATATGACGAAAAGACATCTATAAGACGTCCTTTTCGCCATGTCCAAAAGTCGACTTAGAAAAGACATCTTTTCGTCATCTTTTAGTATTTTGTGCCCTGTGGATAAGGTTGAAATACTTCCCGGCATAATGGAAAGTGGCGCAAATTATATTAATACCAAAACTCAGAAAAGAACCCGAAGAAGTAAAGTCGTACAGATCAATAAACCTTCTGCCTATCCTGTCAAAAATCTTCAAAAAACTCATCTTAAAAAAAAACCCATCCTAGAAAGTAAAAGTATTATCCCAGAACACCAGTTTGGATTTCATGAACAACACACTACAATTGAACAAGTACACAGAATCGTAAGAAAAATTAGAAATGCTCTTGAAGGAAAAATGTACTGTTCAGCGGTGTTCCAGGATGTATCGCAAGCTTTTGATAAAGTGTTGCATCCAGGGTTGCTTTATAAAATTAAAAAGTTTCTCTCGCACAAGTTCTATCAATTACTCAAATCTTATTTGTCAGATAGATATTTTCTTATAAAATACCAAAAAGAACTCTCAGAATTACATTCTATCAACTCTGGTATACCACAAGAAAGCGTACTAGGCCCTTTGTTATATCTCTTATTCACTGCGAATTTATCTACAATGGAGCAGACAACGACAGGAACATTTGCTGATGACACAACCATTTTAACTTCACTTAAAAATCCGAAAGCAGCATCCAGGAAACTTCAAGAAAATATTACCGAAATACAAAAGTGACTTAAAACCTGGCGTATAAAAGTCAACGAGCAAAAATCCTTACACGTCACATTTACATTAAATAAAGAGACATGTCCCCCAGTAACATTAAATAACAAAGTAATACCTCAAGCCGAAACAGCCAAATATCTAAGTATTCACCTGGACCAAGACTTATGTGGAAAACACACATATGGAATAACAGTAAACAACTTGGCCTCAAACTCAGAAATATGTATTGGCTATTTGCCCGTAAATGCAAACTATCTTTAAACAAAGTTTTACTTTATAAATCTATCATCACTCCAGTCTGGACATATGGAATTCAGTTGTAGGGTTCTGTCTCAAACTCAAACATTGAAATCTTGGAAAGATTTCAATCAAAAGTTCTGAGAATTTTAGTGGACGCGCTCTGACTAATGACATTATACGACGGGATCTCGACATCGCAACTGTTAAAGAAATAATAGGAATATGCCTCGAAGTACACTGTTAGACTGGAATCTCATTCAAATCAAATGGCAAATGAGCTCCTTAGCGAACCAACAAACAAGCGTAGACTTAAGCGATTTAAACCATTAGATTCCATAAAAAGATTTATAAATTAGTAACTGTACGCAACCAGTTATCGGATAACAGAGCTGTAACCATTCATATACATATTATCATTCCAAAAAATTGAATATGCAGCGGATATTTTCCAATGGGAAAATATCCTTCACGTTATTTGAATAGATTATGAGAATTTACCGAATGTCATATATTTCTTGACAGATTGTAAATTTCTTGGAGTTAAAAAAATATTCATTTTTCGATTACTTTACTTAATACTTTTATGTACAAAATAATGAGAGGAATCAATTGACGTAAAGAAAACGCATAGTTGTTTTGAAGAAAAAATATGTAATTGTTAATTGCAAATTACATATTTTTTCTTTAGGCCGCCGAACTTGAAAAACATTGTTGATGCCTGTAAGAGGACTTCTAAGACGAGAAATGAGACAAAATTTTGTATTACAAAAATCTTAATAACTCAAAAGCTAATTATTTCCGGACCTATGTTGATTAACTTTTTTTTCTTCTCTAAGCATGAGAAATCCATTCCTGAAATTGTGCCTACCACTTATGAAACACTCTGTGTACACAGGGTGATTCTGAATAAACATTTGTCTTTAAAATATCAAATTCTTGAATGAATTCTAAGACGATTTTTTCTCTTGCAAAATTTGGCCCAGAACTTAGTTTTTAAACTATAAAGAAAAATAGTTAACGAATTACGGAACGAGTACAAGAGATAGGCAGGGACGGCGCGATATAGGCGACTACGGGAGAGCGCTCGCCGCGATCAGCTGATTGCTATACGCGATGAGTGTAACAATCAGTGTGTGTAAGAATGTGCACGCACCTATCCTTCCCTCCCTTCCCTCCCTCCCCCGCCCCATTTCTCCATTTCCCGTGCTTCCCTACCTTTCATACCTACCATACCTTCATGTGATCTTGACAATACTCTTCAAGGACGTACTGATGTTGTTATGTAATGCGTTACTTGAAACCCTACTACTTTTGTCTGAAACATTTGTTTCTAAAATGCACAGTTTTCGAAAAATTTAGAGGTTTCCATACTTGTTTCTCACCCTGTATATATAATGATATTAAAAATGTCACTTTGTATCAACAAAATTTTTTTAATAATTACTAAACAGAATTTTTTTTTAAATATATTTTTTATATAATTATTGCAGTATTATAATAAAGAGATAGTTTTTAAATCTTTTAAATGAATTTATAAATATTTCTAAATAATAATAAAACACATTTTTTTTAAACAATATTTTCAAACGTCACAATATTAATATATATTAATATATTTATATATTTATGCTTTTTTCATAATGAAATATAGGGCAAGAAAGTTTGGGAAGTCTTCCTTTGGTGGGCAAAACTCACGTGCATGGCATATCTGGGCGTGCCTTTCCTATTGCTGCGCTTCCAAGAAATAATACACTTTTACAAAAACCTGTATTTCTCCGGACATATCTTAGGACTTGGATTTTATCTAATCGTACGAATTTTGAAGCCATATCTTCTCAAACGACAACAAATGGAGGAGCAAAAGAAAAAATAATTTTTTTATTATAAAAGAAAAAATAATTCTTTATTTTAAAAGTACAATAATTTTAGATAAGTTTCTATACCAATGCGAAATAAAACATAGAATATTTTAAGATTTAACTATACTTTATTTTTTCAACCACTGATACATTAGTGTAACCTCTTATAAATATAAGCTTGGAATAATTTTGAATTTACTTATCTGCCCATAGGACAGAGACATAAGTATTACTTTTCTTTTTTATATAATCTCCTAATATTCTCTCTTATTACGTTCATAAAAAATTCTGTAAACTTAAATATGTTATATATATGTTATATATATATTATATATACAGGGTGGGGCATTTATCTTGAGACAAGATAATATCTCGATTGGAGTCGATTATTTTGAAAAAAGTTTTAGACAAAAGTTGTAGGATTTTTCCCGGGCAATCCGACGGTGACCTTAGATTTGACCTTGGATGGTCATTTGAAGGTCACATAAAGATTACCTTCAATTTCTTAAATGGAACCCCCTATTTTTCATTACATATTCTTGTAGCTTATCTCGAGAGCTTTCCAAAACACTATAATTAAGTATCTTTTTATTAAGTACTTTTTGAGTTATAAGGCTTGAAATAATTTCTTAATTTTACATAAACCATAAAATATCTAGTAAACCATTCATTTTTCGATTATCTTACCTTCATACTTTTATGTACAAAATAATGAGAGGAATCAATTGGTGTAAAGAAAACATACAGTTGTTTTTAAGAAAAAATATGGAATTGTTAATTGCAAATTACATATTTTTTCTTAGAAACAACTATGTGTTTTCTTTACACCAATTGATTCCTCTCATTATTTTGTACATAAAAGTATGAAGGTAAGATAATCGAAAAATGAATGGTTTACTAGATATTTTATGGTTTATGTAAAATTAAGAAATTATTTCAAGCCTTATAACTCAAAAAGTACTTAATAAAAATGTACTTAATTATAGTGTTTTGGAAAGCTCTCGAGATAAGCTACAAGAATATGCAATGAAAAATAGGGGGTTCCATTTAAGAAATTGAAGGTAATCTTTATGTGACCTTCAAATGACTATTCAAGGTCAAATCTAAGGTCACCGTCGGATTGCCCGGGAAAAATCCTACAACTTTTGTCTAAAACTTTTTTCAAAATAATCGACTCCAATCGAGATATTATCTTGTCTCAAGATAAATGCCCCACCCTGTATATATATATATATATATATATATATATATATATATATATATATATTATATATATATTTTTTATACCAAACAATATTTTTGTACTTTAAAGCTCTCCTTAATTGCAATAATATTAAATTATGATATCCAAAGCGAAAAATATATATAAATTTTTTCTTAAAAAATAAATTTTTTTTGTATTACTCAAGCATTAAATGTAGATTGTAAAACGCAAGAAATATATTTTTTTTATAATTTTGCACTAATTTCGACATACTTTGCAGCAAAAAGATTTACATAGTTTCTCTGATCCAATGTTATAATTTAATGTAGCTGCAGAGAAAATAAATAAATTTTAACTAAAATACTTAATATATATTATTAAATCTGTGATGAACATCTGTGATATAACAGTAATTCTCTGATACTCAATTCTCTGATATTCAATGATAACTAGCTTTAATATAAAATCAGAAAGTCCAAAAGCTAGCAATATCGATAGTATAACAACATCCAATCATGACTTTATAGCAGATTCCTATCCACTGCATCCACAATTGTTTTATTATTAGTATAAATAATTCTATTTATTAGTATAAACTGCTCACACAATATGAAAGCAAAAATGCAACAAAAATCAAGTATTATTTACTGTCATGACGTGACAGTAAATATTGAGCAGTCTGTCATATCTAAAATAAACAGTAGAAAAACAGCAAAATATATAAGCATAAGGATGCAAATTCATTGACGCTAAAAAGTAGCGTCAACCATTGGTTGAACAAAGAAGTAAGTAGTTGCTTCATTGTTTAACCAAACAAATCCTCTGACATACGATTTATCGGACTATTGCTATATCTTTCAACCTCAGAAGTGGGATCACCGGCTAGAGGAATCTTTGTGCGGCCACGGTTCAAGGTCAGGACACCTGCGTAAGAGAAAAAAAAAGTAGCGTTAATACGGAACGTGGCGAATAAAATGGATCGGACTTCACTGGAAAGACTTGGTCGAGCAATTGAAACAAGAAGCGGCTAGATATCGTCTTCCATCGACGGGTCGAAAGATCGAACTCATCGAGATGATCATCTCGCATTTGAGCCACGGACCCACAGATTTGCTGAGGTTGACCCCGAACCAGAAGACAGCCCGTGCCAGGGCGTGATCGACGGGCAGCTCGATTCAGGCGTTGGCCTCACAAATTCCAGAGTTTTTCAAGAAGGAAAACGTGCGATCCTGGACTCGCAGAGTCGAGAAAGTCGCTCAGGTGCGGGGGTGAGCGACAGCGTGACGTTGGCGGCCTCCAGCAAGTTAACAGGATCTGCTCGAAGGTGGTTCGACATCCAGGACGGACCGGTGGTTGAGTCGTGGCTGGGACTCCGCAACGACCTGATTAAAATGTTCGATCAGAAGGTGCTTTTTTCCAAACTAATGCAGAAGATCGAAGGAAGAAAGTGATTACCTGGCAAGGAGACCTATGACGAATACGCCATAGACAAGTTGGCGCTGATGCATCGGGTGGACCTGGAGAAGGACAAAATCCACTTGTTGATTGGCGGCATCATTCACTCCTCGCTGTGCGGCATTGCATTGTCCATGAACGCACCGACGGTGGACTCCTTCATGGAGCACATGAGGCGAATCACGCACGGCGTCGCGGACCAAGACAGGAAGCTGACGGCAGTGAACGCGACGGCCAAGTCCAAGGATGGAGCCTGCAGGAATTGCGGGAAGAAGGGTCACGGCCACAAGGATTGCAGAGGTGAGATTATTTGTTTCTTTTATAAAGAGAAGGGACATCGACGCTTTGATTGTCCGCTTCTCAAAAAAAAGGACGGGAGAAGTCAAAAATCAACGGCGACATCGGTGGGGTCTCGGAGGCGTCAACGAGCACGGTGGCGGCTGAAGTCTCGGAGGAACATTCCAGAGAACATGATAGCAGCCGTCCAGGAGGGTCCTCGCCGGCTCATCATCAAAGACCCGTTGATCGTCGTCTGTTAGGAAAAAGCAGACAATTATCAGCGTTGATTGATGCGGGGAGTCCCGTTTCTTTCATGAAGTATAACATATATTGTAAATATGTAAAACCGGTGCGCGTAAAAATCAATCCGACAAACAGAATATTAAAAAATTTAAGCGACCAGGCGTTGGAAATTTGCGGGTCAATCGAAGTTCATATAACGTTGCGAGCGTTACCAGAAGTTAAATTTTTAATATCTTTTTTTGTGTTAAAAAACGTTTTTTTTCAGCTGATCTGATAATAGATCACTTTTTTTGTAAACGAAAACCTTACCTTAATATTGAAGCTTTCTGTTCAAGGCCAATACAACACGGTCGAACTGAATTGCACTTGTGTTGAGGAGCGAAATAACAGCCAAAATAAACAATTGATAAACTTACAACAGACTTTGGATATAATGTAGATAAGCGATTAAAACCATTGATAAATAAAACCGAAAATAAAAAGATTATACTTGCAGAAGACGACTATTGCATGAAGGTCAGACTCAAAGACGACTCCGTATACGCGTACGTTCCTCGGAGATTCGCTCATACCGAATGACTTCAGATGCGGAAAATTACCGACGATCTCCTCCAATGCGATATTATCCGTTCAAGTGTATCATCATATTGTGCAAGGTTCGTCCCTGTAAAGAAAAAAGACGGCAGTATGAGACTGTGCATCGATTTACGACCATTAAATAATAAAGTTGTCAAACACAAATATCCATTTCCCGTAGTCGAAGAATGCCTCGCGAGACTCGGGCATAATAAAGTATTTTCGTTGTTAGACTTAAAAGATAGTTTTCATCAAATAAGAATACACGAGAAATTGATAAAATATTTTTCGTTCGCGACTCCCGACGGACAATTTGAATATAAAACTTCCGTTCGGTTCTTGTGAAGCACCGGCCGAATTCCAGAAAAGATTGATTCAAATACTAAGTTCGTTCATCCGAGAAGATAAAGTAATTTTATATACTGACGATGTCTTAATTCTGTCAAAAACTGTTTTGCAAAGAAAATTTAAAAACAATCGAAGAAATTATACTCGTTATTAAAAAATACGAGTTCGCGTTGAATTTATCAAAGTGCAAGTTTCTCCGAAAAGAAATAGAGTTCCTCGGTTACGTGATTTCTAAAGACACTATTACATTAAGCCCGCGGCATACCGAGGCAGTTAAAAACTAAGCAACCGATAGATCGGCTTCAATTACAAAGATTTCTCGGTCTTGTAAATTATTTTCGAAGATTTATTAAAGATTACGCGAGGATAATACAACCGCTTCAAAATCTCTTAAGAAAAGGCACGAAGTTTGATTTTGATAACGCGTGTATCGAAGCTTTCAATAAATTAAAAGTAGAACTCACATCGACGCCGGTGTTACGCCTATTGTATAATCCAGCAGCCGAAACACAACTGCACATAGACGCCTGCAGTACGAATCTCGACGCAATTCTGCTCCAGAGGCAAGCAGACCAGTCCTGGACTCCAGTTGCGTACTTTAGTCATAACCACCATTAACACCGCTGAAAAGAATTATCATAGTTACGAGTTAGAAATGTTAGTCGTGGTGCGAGGTCATTGAAAAATTTCACTTGTATTTGTACGGCCTAAACTTTACGGTAATAACAGATTGTAATGCGATTGTCTATGCAGCAAAGAAAATGAATCTAAATCCTAGAATAGTGAGATGGACTCTTGCACTGCAAAATTATACGTTTAACATAACACACTGGCCTGGCATACGCATGTCCCACGTGGATACACTCAGTCGTAGCGTTGCATATGTGAATGAGCTTCCTCTCGAGCGTAAGTTGGAATTTCGTTAAGGGGTTACACCTATTTGAATTTTTTTTTTGCATTTTTTTTTATTGGCTTAAATGATGTAAAAACATCTCAAAAATGATATTCAATCGTAATTTTAGTCCAAAAAATTTTTTAAATAACCTTTTTAGCTAAATTTGTGAGTCTACCTTTGTATACCTTGATGCTATAAAAAAAATTTATGAAGATTTAAGTGCCAAAGAATTACTTACGCGTTGTCTTGGAGCATACACGCAAAATAGCAATAAATCATTCAACTCTGTCGTTTGGACCATAGCGCCTAAATCAATATCTAGTGGCAAACGTATTTTGGATGTAGCATGTAATATAGCCACGATTTTCTTCAATGACGGATTTTTAGGCTTGCTACGAATTATGAAAGTGCTTCAATTGCCAATTAGCGTTGAATTACATAATTATTGCTTGATAATCGACGAACACCGTGTGAAAGCCGCAAATCGCTCATCATCAAAATTTGAAAAAGACGCTCGGCATGACTTAAAATCGTTAAGAAAAAAAGATGAGGATCAAAATCTGAACTTGGAAGGAATTCTTTATGGTCCTGGGATAGCAGAGTAAAGGTAAAAAAATTAGCAAGCTCCTATTTTGAATTTTTCATGCAGTAAATCGTTTCCAAAACTTTGAACGCGATTATCTCAAAACCACGTTTTTCAAATCGGCAGTACAAATAACTCTTTCAATTTTTATCCAATCGACTTACAATTTTAACTGTAGCTTTTTAGATAGATTTTAAAGAGAAGTACGCACGATTTTTGAGATCCATTAATAATTACGTGTTTTATAAACATTTAAAGGTCGATTTTTTTGGTGAAAAACAAAATGTTGGCTTTAAACTTGTGTCAAATTGCAAAAAATGATTATTTTTTAATAATCGTGTGTACTTCTCTGATAAATTTAATGTAAATTATAAAAAAATTTTTTTTTTCCTACATGCAGAAATAAAAATGGCATTTGTACTGCCGCAGACCACCTCCAAAAAAAGACACGATGCTTTGAGTATCTCTACATCCGCCATTTTGAACAAAAAAATTAAAAAAAAAATTATTTTGTATACTTCAATATATGTATAATAAACCCTCAAAATTTTATTTACATTGATTTATTTTATCACAACGAAAAAAATTTCTTAAAAAAGGCTTTTTTCCGACCGTTCAAATAGGTGTAACCCCTTAATTGGCGGACCCTAAAATACATGAGATAGCGAAAGAATTAGAAATGCAGGATAATGATCGATTTAATCTAATAGATGGATTAGTATATAGACGCGAAAATGAAAGCATGAAATTCGTAGTGCCTGAATCGATGATAATTAGCATTTTACGACCATTTTACGAGCTCACCATGATGATATGGCACATTGTGGTGCCGCAAAAACTGTCGTAACTCGACGAAATAATAAATTAATTAATTAAATAAACAAAACTTGAAATAAGACTAAAACAGCAAAACAAAATAAGTTAAAAATAAATAAGAGGTATTAAGAAATAAAAATAAGACGTGACAAAAAAAAGCAAGTCACGGCCAAAGCTGAATAAGCATATCGAAACCGAGCACGGAGCACGAACCGCGCTCCAGCCCGAGGTCAACACTTCTTTCCTCAAGCTAAACGATATATAAACCGATCGCGAGATCAACGAGAGAGTCGTCATTAATACTAGGTCATCAGTAATACAAGTCGTCGTGACAGTTAAGTAAGCTCGCCATACGTCTACTTTAACGTGTAAATAGATTCAAGAATAGTGTAAAACCAATTTAAGAAGAACGACCGAAATATATTCCTTTACTACCAAGTACGGAGTGTCTTCATTTGCTGCCTGGATTCCAATCCTTTGGGCGAATAATCCCGAAGACCCGTCCTCCACGGTTCGGGCACAACATTAATTGGTGGCAGCGGTGGGATTCGCCAGCATCAAGTGAGACAAAGGAAATGAAGGACGTCGTGATTACACACATCCGCTACTACAATGAAAACCAGAGAAGTCGACTAGGAACTTCCCGGACACCCGATACAACGAGGTAACAACCGGACTGCAATTCGAGGAGGAGCCGACCTACCTCAACCACGAAAGACAACGCGAGAACTGCGACCAAAGGAGAATGCTGCTCATCGTACTAATGTAAATCGAATGAAGCAAACATAATAACGCGTGGATATCGGAAGGACCGACCAAATAATAAAGCGAACGCATCGTGGCTACATAGCGCATCTGCGGATAGAGCAATAACGCGTAGTTTATAAGCCCGCAGAGAATAGCAGAAACCGCGCTTAGAGATATCAGTAATAATGTGCGTAGAAATTTAGAAGCATATTACTCAAGTGATAGCTCATCCGAATACGGAGCGAACGTAATAACTGAACGCGAATATTCATTTGGCGAAATAGATCCGAGCTTAATTGTAAACACCGACGACTGTGCACCAGACGCCGAGTCAGCAGTTAGCTCGCTCAATAGAATGACACATAGGCACGAATTTTCCTTAACGTCATATGATCCGAGTATTTTCAATCCAGAAATAATATATTATGAACGTAGAAGCATGACACACACCACAGAGTACATCGCGAGACGTTACTTCCGTAGAGGTGAATAGAGAAATCAATCGATTACGAGAAGAACTGGATAACGATATCATGAACGCTCGTACACGACAAAGATCGCAACAAGAAATAAATAATCCACCTAACGAATTTAGAGATATGATGCAAGCAATGATGCACGAGATTAGCAACCTGCATGTCGAAATGAACGATATCAGAGAGAGGCAAGAAAGACAGAGTAACGGACGCCTCACGCCATTAGAAGATAGACGTGAACCAACGTACGACCCTTCACCCAACTATGTACGACATCATCGAGGACGCGGACATTTACCGTTGAAAGAAGTACGCGGTTTAATTCCAGAATTCGACGGATCGGCAAACAAACTACAAGAATTCTTAAGTGCAACAACGTACGCGGTTGAAAATATTAATCCGTTAGATGAACTCACACTACTAGGCGCAGTATTATGCACGAAATTAAAAGGCAGAGCAATGTTAGATTTTCAAAAGATTCGAAATTTTGCACAATTGAAACAAGAACTAGAAGCCTGCTACGCCAGTAAAAAGAACACGATACATCTACAAATAGAATTCAATACGTTGAAACAGAAAACCGACGAAAATGCGAGAGCATACGGACTTCGAACAGACAAGTTAGCGATGGAACTATACGAATCAATGTTAGACGGACAACAATATACGGCTGATCATAAACGCGTAATACTCAACATTATTCAGCAACAAGCCTTAGAGAATTTTCAGATCGGATTAAATGACGATATCAAAACAGTAGTACGATCCCGAGGATATACGACACTGCAAGAAGCGATATCAGCTGCGACCACAGAAGAGAAGATCAAGGAACCGACGATAGTTAGCACGCAATCAAAGAGCGCTGCGACACCGACATATTATCGTGACACTAGAAATGTCATACAATGTCAAAAATGCAGAAAAATAGGGCATCATGGACGAGAATGCCGCACAAGCCGTTACGCGACACGATTTTTGTTACCGAAACCGGAGCGACACTCGCGCGTAAATACTGTCAATAAATACTGCAACTATTGCAAGAAAACTGGCCACAATCGCGAAGAATGTTGGCTGCTACACGAATGACCTAACAAGGATCGATCTAACCGCCTAAAGCAGAATCAAACAGCACGAGAAAATAAAAGTCGATATAATAACGACAGAAAGAAAAAGAAGACCGATTACGCCAAAGAGAGTGATGAAGAAGACAGGAAAGAGAAAAAACAGAGACCTGCCGTCGAGTATCACGTATCGCAACGTAAGACAAACACCTCATACACACACAGGACTGGATTTAGTTGCATTACCCATGCAAGAGGCAAAGGGAGGAAAAGTAAATTTATTATGTGATACAGGAGCGGCCATTTCACTTATTAAGGTGAGAAATTTAAAAGGAGAAACAATGATAACCGAGGATAAAATAGCCCTCACAGGTGTGATCGGACACAAGATCCACACAATTGGACGGATAAACGCCTGTAAATCTACGAGATGGAAAACTAAAACACAGACTGTATGTCGTGAAAGACCATTTTCTTATAGAATACGAAAAAATATTAGGAATAGACTTCCTTAAGAAATAAGAGGCGATATGCAATTACGCCACAAAACAGCTAAGACTCGGACGGAATATACTAAGACTATATCCTTATCGGAAGATCACATTACAACCTCGAAGCGAGACGATAGTGCAAGTAGCAACAACAATCAACATGATGGGACTAACCAAAGCAGAGGAGATAATACCAGGAGTATTTATAGGAAATTGCCTAGTGGAGCCCGAAAATTTTTTATGTCCTACGAGCGTGATAAATACAAATGAAAACAAGTAAATATAACCTGCACAGAAGCGGAGGAGAAAAGCCTTCGACTGAAAAAATATTGCAGAATATCCGCACTGGACATCTAAATAAAAAAGAGGAAAGGTCAATAAAAGAAATCTGCGAAGAATATAGCGACGTATTCCACACAGAGGGAGAGCCGTTCACATGTATGAATACAGTAACACATCGAATTGCAACGCAAGCAGATAGTGCAGCGGTTAACATATGACTGTACTGGCTAGCCGAGAAACAAAAAACCGAAGTCAATAAACAAGTGCAAGAGATGCTAAAAAATGGAATAATCTGAAATAGCGTAACCCAATGGAACGCACCTTTATTAGTTGTTCCGAAAAAACCAGATGCGTCTGGAAAACAGAAACTGAGAGTGGTGGTAGACTTTCGAAAATTGAACGACCTAACGATCGGTGATTCATTCCCTCTACCGAATATCACCGACATACTGGATCAACTAGGAAATGCAAAATATTTTACAACACTCGATCTGGCATCAGGATACCATCAAATCGAAATGGAAGAGAGCGACAAATGCAAGACAGCGTTTTCCACACCATACGGACATTACGAATTTAATAGAATGCCGTTTGGGTTAAAAAACGCGCTCGCCACATTCCAACGTTTAATGAACGCGGTACTAAGCGGACTGCAAGGAATAAAATGTCTAGTATGTCTAGATGATATCGTAATTTTTGGAGCCAGCCTAACGGAACGTAATAAAAGATTGAGAGAAGTATTAAAAAGATTACGGGAAAACCAACTAAAATTGCAACCCGACAAATGCGAATTTCTAAGGAAAGAAGTTACATACCTTGGACATATAATAACGGAGAACGGAATATCACCGGATCCAGCTAAATTAGAAGCTGTAAAACATTTTCCTATACCAAAGAAGGTTAAGGACGTACAAGCATTTATAGGACTAGCCAGATATTATCGAAAATTTATCAAAGGATTTTCCAAGATAGCGAAACCGCTCACGAGACTAATGAAGAAAGGAGGTAACTTCGAATGGACGCAAGAACAACAAAACACTTTCGAGACATTAAAAGAAAAGCTGACGACAGCACCAGTATTAAAATACCCAGAGTTTACGGAAGAATTTATAGTAACAACAGATGCTTGCAATTACGCAATCGGAGCCATCATTATCACAAGGTTAAATAGGGCAAGACCGGCCAATAGCATATGCAAGCCGTGTACTGTCAAAGGCCGAACAAAACTATAGCACGACCGAGAAAGAATTACTTGCTATAGTATGGACTGTTAAGCATTTCCGACCGTACTTGTATGGAACAAGATTCACTATTGTCACGGATCACAAATCGCTTATATGGCTATTCAATGTCATCGATCCTGGATCTCGATTAATCCGATAGAGACTTAAACTAGAAGAATACGATTATGTGATAATACACAAGGCCGGGACAGCGAACAGAAACGCTGACGCGCTAAGTCGGCACGTGGCAGATATTAACGCGGTCGAAGAGAGAGAGAGACAGACGACGCTACAACAAGGAAAGAGTATACAGAGAACGAGAAGTAGAGAATACTGTATGAATATCATGACGCACTCTTAGGAGGACATCAGGGAATCGAACGCACAATAAATCGAATTCGAATGACCCACAATTGGAAGGGGCTGACGAAAGATGTCGAAAGTTATATAACGAAATGCGAACTCTGTCAGAAAAATAAACTGTCGGGAAAAAACAAAGCGCCATTAACAGATACTGCCGATAAACCATTCGAGCGCATTAGATATAGTAGGATCGTTAATGATTACAAATAAAGGAAATAAATATATATTAACTTTCCAAGATAATCTGACGAAATTTAACAAGGCAATACCGATAGCAAACCAAGAAGCCGCGACAATCGCGAAGGAATTCACAACTAAAATTATATTCGAATACGGAATATCAGAAAAAATTCGAACCGACCAAGGAACAAATTTCCTAAGCGAGATATTCAAGAATATTTGCAAACTATTGAAAATCGAGAAAGTACAGACGACAGCGTATCATTCGGAAAGCAACGGAGTGCTGGAACGATCACACCGGACACTAGCCGAATATCTACGACATTATATAAATGCAGATCAAACCGACTGGGACGAACCGACTGGGATTCCATATGCAATGTTTACATATAATACAATCTCGCACACAGCAACAGGATTCACTCCGTTCGAACTGATTACGGACATACTGCGAATCTACCGACAACGCTATCGCAACCACCAAGATCCACATATACGTACGAAGATTACGCGAACGAACTCAAAGAAAAGTTGCGCGCTACGCAACAAGTTGCGAAAGAGCATATACGCAACGAGAAAATGAAAGCAAAAGGAAACTACGACAGGAAAACACGTGAAACGAATTTCGAAGTAGGGGAAAAAGTCCTCTTACACGACGAAACAGTTCGCCACGAGGACAATCAAAGAAATTAGATTCCCTATGGATCGGGCCTTACGTAATCACCGAGAAAAATTCCGACGTGAATTACACGATCAAAATGGAAAGAAGAACAATACGCGTACACGTGAACCAATTGAAAGCCTTTATCGAACATTAAAATTTATAAAGCAAAGACGCGCGAAGGAGAGAAGCAAGCAGCGAAAGCATCTGCATAAAACTTTTTACGAAAACGCAACGACTAATATGATATCAATACAATAATTATATTGCAGGAGTCTCACTGCCCTGAGCGAAGGCAGAACAGAAGAACCTGACACCTATGAGACCTGGCAGATAGAAAAATTCCAGCACGAACCAGACATATACTTCGAAAAAATAGGAAAAATTAATCAAGTCGAGTGGAAAATGGTAATCAAAACAGACATCGCAGCAATGGACCACCGACAAGAGCAAGTAATGGGCACAAACAAGAGCACTATGCTACGAAAAATCATTGGAACGAAAAATGAAAGAAACATGTGCAGCATATTACTACAAGTAACAGAGAAAGAATATAAAAAGAATATAAAAAAAGCAGTAACTTTATTAACACGATTAAGGAAAACTTATCACCTAACGAAGAAAATACAAAGAAGACTAATAAATGGCTTCGGAACAATAGCAAAAACGCTATTCGGCACAATGGACGCCAACAATGAAAAAATCATCACCGAACAGTTAAAATTAATAAAAGGAAAACAACAAATGCTGCAGCACACATTAAAAAATCAAGTAAAAGTATTAAACGCAACCATCGCTCACATGGATGAATCAGAAAAAATTATACAAGAAAACGAAGAAAGATTCCTAAACATAACGGAAAAAATGCGACAAAGTTGGCTACAAACGACAAGTTTTGGATATCGAGAAGAGATGGACGAACACTTCATCGTATTAAATGCGATCATCAAAGACTTAATAATCGATATTACAGACATTATTGCCCACCTAAACAGCGCGAAAAGTGAAATAATAAACATAAGATTAATACCGGTCGAAACGATTATCGATAATCTTAAGGAAATAGCGACACAAGTGCCACTGGGAATGCACTTCCCATTTCAAATCGCACAAGAAAATTGGGAAAAATTTATAACGATTAGCGCATACTATGATAACGAAGGCATAATTACGGTAATAAAACTCTCACTAATTATGTACCCCACATATGATATAATAAAAATAACACCCCTACTCACCCACAAACAAAACAATACATTTATATGTATAGAGATAAACCAACCCATAATAGCGATAGACACGGACAGCCGAACATATTTTACAACCACAGAAAATGAATTAGAAAGTATGCAAAATAATAACGAATATGTATGCGAACAAAACTATCCGATACATCGTGTAGATGACCAAGCGTTATGCAAGATACAGACATATGTACAACTAGGAAAACACACAGATAACTGTAACATAAGATACGTACACGCGAATACAACGTTATGGACAACGTTAAGTAACGCGAACACATGGATATATTCCAGCGAAACAGCAGATAGAGATAACGTACGAGAACGACACAAAAAGTCGAGATGGATAGAACGGGACAGTTAAGGACTAAAGGGAAATGTAAAAAATCGTAACACCCGACGTAATAATAAGAACAAAAAAATCTACACTAGTAACATATATCAAAACACGCATACCAGATTATAATTTAACATTAACGCCACAAAAACAAACAGACAGACTACTAAAATCGAGGCAATTAAGTTACGAAAAATAATAAAAACCCATCAGAATTAATGGAACTTAGCAAAACATTGACCGACATAGACAAACAAATAGACGAAGACAACCTATAGATACGGGAACATATAATATACCCGGCGATCTCAAGTATCACAGGGACGATAATAATAATCAGTCTTGTAGCGATAATTTACGCGATAAAAAAGAGCCAAGCAAAAAAGAAAGCACCGGTCAACGAAAATTTAAACCCAGTAAGCATACCGCGAGTATCAAGAGAACGTATCTACAATAGACCCTACCAACCAGACTCACCAACAAACAACACAGCAATATTATATTAAATAACATGTAAAATTGTAAAATAGATAAAGAAAATTTACCGCTAGTAAATTTTCTTTTCCCAAGGAGGGAAGGATGTCGTAACCCGACGAAATAATAAATTAATTAATTAAATAAACAAACCTTGAAATAAGACGGAAACAGCAAAACAAAATAAGTTAGAAATAAATAAGAGATATTAAAAAATAAAAATAAGACGTGACAAAAAGAAAGCAAGTCATGGCCACGGCTGAATAAGCATATCGAAGTCGAGCACGGAGCACGAACCGCGCTCCGGTCCGAGGTCAACACTTCTTTCCTCAAGCTAAACGATATATAAACCGATCGCGAAATCAACGAGAAAGTGATTAATACCAGGTCATCAGTAATACAAGTCGTCGTGACAGTTAAGTAAGCTCGCCATACGTCTACTTTAACGAGTAAATAGATTCAAGAGTAGTGTAAGACCAGTGTAAGAAGAACGACGGAAATATATTCCTTTACTATCAAATACGGAGTGTCTTCATTTGCTACCTGGGTTCCAATCCTTTGGGCGAATAATCCCGAAGACCCGTCCTCCACGGTTCGAGCACAACAAAACATTATCCGGCACAAAATTATTGGTTCCTATCTATGCGAAAGAAAACATATAATTATATAGAAAATTGTCTTACCTGCCTTATGGTTAATAATGCGTGAAATAGATTCGAGAGAGAGAGACTGTCCTATCCGTTGCCCAGCTCTCCGTTACAAATACTGCACGGTGACTCTTTTGGGCCGCTGCAAGATACTCCTGAAAATTTCAAACATATATTAGTCATAGTAGATGCTTTCACGAGGTTCACGTGGCTATTTGCAACAAAGTCGACAAGCTCCAAAGAAGGATATCATAATGCACATGGATAAAATGTTTAATACTTTTGAAAAACCTCTGGAGTTGGTAATGGATAGAAGCACGGCTTACACGTCATATGAATTTGCTGATTTTATTAAGAGAAATGGTATAAAACATAGAAAAGTAGCGGTAGCAGCCCCATGGGCAAATGGTATTGTGGAGCGAATCAACAGATTTGTTAAAACATCTCTCACGAAACTGTTACATACGTCTTCAGAGTGGAATCAACATTTAGAGACATTACAGTACATAATAAATAATACTTACCACTCAAGTGTTAAGTCGAGTCCAACAAAACTCCTCTTCGGTTTTGATCAGCGAAGCCACACCGACTCAGCTTTTGCTCAGTTTACTCAGGTTCTCACTAACGTTGATTCTGACCTGGAAAAAGAAAGACAAGAAAATAGAGATAAAACCGTTTAGGCAACAGACGCAATTATAACAAAAATTATAACAAAAATTATCAAGACCAGTGTAGCATAAAACCGACTATATATAGAAGGCGACTATGTATTAGGGACACACGAAATATACCCAGCGTTAATACGAAATTAAAACCGAATTATAAAGGATCTTACCTAATTGTGAAAGCCTTAGGAAATAATCGATATGTCATTTGTGACATCCCTAGTTTCAATCTAACAGCTAGACCTCTGGATACGATCCTCTCTGCGGATTGAATAAGCCATGGGTCAGGCTAAGGGACCCTGCGAAAGATTAGAATAAGTTTAGTAATAAGCCGCGAATTTAAAGTTAATTAAATAAGATTATTATTAAGTTAGTTTAATTCCATGTGTATAATTCCTGTGTATACTTTAGAACCAAAGAAACTAGTAGCTTACTATCATACTAGTAGCTTTATATCAGACCGAAACGACTCGCCGGTATGTAATAATCGTCACTCTAACCAAATGGCGTAGTTAACAAAGAATGTAAATACTATAAATAATATAATATAAAATATGTAGTCGGTAAAGTAGAAATCAACCAAAGCACCGAAATGGTGCCTGAAATGGTCACCAAGATGGTCGCTGCTATAAATTCGTACCTTAATCATAGATGGCGTTAATTTGAATGCCGATGTAGCGTCCATTCACCCTTCCAATGGCAATTTGGGGATTTCTCGTGGACAAACCACGGGACGACCAATCACAACGCGACTCGTGACAATAGCGCCACACTAGACACGACACGACACGACGCCACGCTAAGCTTAGCGTCTCTTATATATTATTCTTTCTTAATTCTACTTTTTCTAAAAGGATTTAGACACGCTTAAAAAGACTCTAGTTTATATACCAAAGATAATTGTTATTTTTGAATAAAGACTGATTTTCTATTATTGAACGACGTACATAAATATATGTGTTGGATACCCAATCCCTACATATATATTTCTGGTGACTCCGACGTGATTAGCAAGGTACGCGAGAAACGCGTTACGAGGCACACAAAAAAGGCCGTTAATACTCGGCGGACATATTGGTTAACGAAATCGAGAGACCGATTTTATAATGCCGACAACGCACTCACCGCCGCGAGGCAGAACAACGAGCGAGTCAAACACCGGCCGTGTTTCACGCGAAGACGACGACGACGTTTTGTCCCTCCAGCGAGCAGACATCACAGCGAACCTGAGGCTATAAACGCAGCACGCCTAGTAAAACTGCCGCCGTTTTGGAAAGAAAATCCAGTGTTATGGTTCACGCAGATCGAAGCAGCATTCGCTATATCCAGAGTTACAGGCGACGAGACGAAGTTCAGGTACGTCATAGTTCATCTGGATCAAACTGTACTGCCTTTTGTCTCAGATATTCTGGCCACGCCGCCGATTGCAAACAAGTACGAAACTCTTAAGCAGAGGATAATAGGATCGTGATGAAACCAACGAGTCCAAACTGCGGAGATTGCTACGTGGAAACGAGTTCGCGGATGAGAAACCCTCAAACTTCCTGCAGAGACTGCGAAATCTTTCAGGGGGTCAGTGCACCGACGCAGTACTTAGAACATTATTCTTAGAGCAGCTGCCTGACAACGTACTGCGACGCCGTCGCCCGCCTCGGGAACGCCGCTCCCGAGGAGGTAGCGTGCAAATTTGGCGGTGTCAGTAATTGGCGGTATCGGGATCTTAAAATGGCGGTAACGGTATCTTAAAATGGCGGTAGAGTACGGTAACAGAATCTCCAACGAAAAAGAAGATAGAATATGGGCGCCAGGCGCGGTATTTCCGCGCCACGATATCGAAACGGTAACGGCAAGCTCAGTTTATGGCAGAGGGGCAGAGTTCTTTGTGAATTAGTTACGGTAAGGGGGAAGAGAGCGCTAGATTATCTTTAGGAGAGAGAAATGACTACTCAGTTATTTTGCTCACAATTAATTACATATATTGTAATGTTAGAATATACACACAATGAACAGTATAATCGACTTTAGTATAATATAGATAAAGTTAATATAATACAGATAAATTTAATATAATAGCGATAAAGTGAATATAATATCGATAAATGTAATATAATAGCGGTAAAGTTAATATAATAGCGATAAATTTAACATAAGAGCGAGAAAATCGGTAAATATACAAGAACGCACGGCACAAGATAGAATAATAAAAGAAAGCAGATAAATTTCGAAATATAACTGTTATCTTATAAATTGCGGAAACAAAGGACACGTTATAACGGCTGATGCGAAGGTCAGATATATAATAATATAATATTCTCAGGGAGGCTACTTGAAATATTGACTCTGAGTCGGCAATAAAAGAAAGGGGAAAAAAACGGTATTAAAATAGTTTTAGCCTTTCAATAATGACGGTAATCGAAGGCCGTGAACATTAGCGGCGAAATCTCTACCAAACTCGAGAACGAATTACGTCTGATTTCAGCTCATACGTCGAGACGTTCGTCTCGCTAACAAATTTCGGTATAATTCTCAACTAGTTTATGGCGGTAATCCACGTAATTAACGGTAACCAGAGTGTACGGGAATTTTATGATCAGACGATTATACGCGGATGGTTTACGAACACTCCTGGAGGCGCGAGCCTCGTGCTCAATATCGATATAAATCGAACCTGACTTTCCATACAATTGTGACGGTAACTTTTACGCTCAACAATAATTAACGGTAACGAACAATAGACCACTAAGAAATAAACAGAATTTTAACCCGAAATAGACGGTATACGTATTTTATAAAAGTTCGATATAACTCGAATCGAACCTTTTCTTACGGCAATTAACGATGACTTTCGACAAAGTCTCGATGAAAAACAAAAGCTTTCTTTAACGGTAGTTTCAAAGAGGTAGACGGAAATTGTTTACCCGATGTAACGGTCGCAGCACGACCTTTTGGTTTCGTTAACAATAACACGACGTCCGCGTAACGGAAATTTCGAACAAGTGATGCGTTAAATACTTTTCGGCGGAGATTTCGCGTAGGGTAATATTCTTGCAGAGCCGTTCTCTTAATTCCGGTAACACACGCTCGCGAAGAAATTACCCGCTCAAATCCCGCTTTCCGGTATGCGATATACTCGATCAAAAATTACCGCGTCACGCTCGGAGTATCGATACAAAAAAAAGACGTTAACGGGAACGATACAATTTTTAAACGGTACGGAAACGAGACATAATACCACGGACTAACGGCACGAACACCCCTGAGAGGGACAAATCCGCGACTCCGGGGACAGCTGGCGTCCGACAACTACGGTACAAGTATTATACTTCACGGTAATCTTTCTCACGGTATGATAGCCGTCCTGCGACGGTATCTCGGCACGATGACACCAGCTGATCCCGGATGAAAATTTCTAATCGGCTACTTGTGCGACGGCTTACAATTTCGTTCAGGTGGCTGCTCCCTCAGGATCGTCTCTTCCAAATTCGGGCTGCTGTGCACTGGTCACTAGCTCACCGTACAGTGACGATCTTCGTCTGTGCTTGCGAGGTCCTCGAATCCCACGCCGATCTTCCGCGCATTTTGTCGATTCCGGGAAAAATGGGGTGGATTCCCCGCCCCCCTCGAAAGTTGCTGATGTTTTACGGCGTTGCCCTTACGCAGGGGCCCAGTATTCCTCAGCGACGGTGCTCGTGCTGGTGCCGATCCTCGGGGACGTGACCGGCTGGCCAGGTCGTATCCGCGTCTCCCTCCGAGATTTTTGTTTTCCAGTCGGCTGCCTGTAAAGTTGCTTTCGGCACCGTCGTCTGGATTCGCTGCCATTTCTTTTTACATCTGAAAAATATGCAGATTTAATCTCCCTGACATTACTAAGAGCGGCGGCGCGGGATCTTAGTACTTGACCTGATGCTTGCGGTAGCTCCGGTATCTTCTCGGTATCCTTGGTATCGTGCGGTAGCTTCTTTTACAAATGGTCGATCCTGCACGCACGCACAGTAGCCGTATTCGCATCGCGGGTCTTAAATTTCGCTAAACACAAGTCTATACATTTGAATAATAAGTAGCGGTAGTCTCCTCTCAGGCGCGAGAGACGACCCCGCGCACGCTGTTTTCCCTCGGCAGGGAAATCGTGACGGAGCTTAAAAAGCGTCACGTCACAGTACGTAGTATCTTAGCCATAAGTGAAGTTACAGATTTGTCGAAATTAGCAATGCAAGCTGACAAAATCACGGATATGTCAAGAGCTAGTGTAGCACAAGTCAATGCCGTTGCAAAATTGCCACATGCGGGAGAAGCTAGATAGAGTTCGCAAGATATGGTATCTTGCGAACTCAAGGCTGCGATCGATGCAATTGCAGAGCAACTAAAAGAGTTACGCAGTGCACAACAGCAAGGCAGGTCCAAAAGTAGAGGACGTGACAAGTACGCGCGCAGGAATAAATCAAGATCAAAATCTCAAGAGCATCACGAATCCAATACATGTTACTACCACCGGAAGTTCGGGCAGAAAGCGTTCAAATGCCTATTACCATGTGAGTGGAAAGAACCCAAGGCAGTGATCGCGGAAAACTAACCGCGTCGTCTAACCAGATGACGGAGGCGGACGACGCAGACATTCCATCTTACCGTAGCAGATAGGAAAAACGGGATTCGCTACCTCATCGATACCGGAGCAGATGTGTCAGTTATACCAAAGAATGCAGTCAGAGGAAATTGTACAGCGAGCAAATATAAATTATACGCAGCCAATAATACTCTGATAACCACCTATGGGTTAAGGTTAGTTAATGTAGACTTAGGATTACGAAAGAAGCTAGATTGGACATTCATAGTGGCGGATGTCAAGCAAGCCATAATCGGAGCGGATTTCCTGGCACATTTTGGATTGTTAGTTGATTTAAAACACAAACTGTTGCGTGATGGAAATACAAGTTGCAAGGTAGACGGTAAGCTGTCAATTTCGGAGATTGGAGGAATTATCACTTTTGACCATGCTGATCCTTTTGCCGATCTCCTGCGGAAATTCAGCGACATCACTAAACCGGTAAGCCTTCAGAAACCAAAGCACGGAGTAACGCATCACATTATTACTACAGGTCCAGCGGTCGCGGAACCGGCGCGCAGATTGTCTGGTGAAAGATTACATGCAGTACGCGCACAAATACAATATATGTTAGATGCAGGGATTTGTAGACCCAGCTCTAGTCCCTGGGCTGATCCATTGCATTTAGTACCACAAAAGGATGGCGATTGGAGAATATGCGGCGACTACAGGTGATTAAACAACATCACAATGCCGGACAGATACCCAATCCCGCACTTGTACGATGTCGCACATAAGCTGGAAGGATGTAGCATTTTCTCAACACTAGACCTAGCAAGGGCGTACCATCAGATACCTGTCGCAGAAAAGGATCGTCCAAAAACAGCAGTAATAACACCATTTGATCTTTACGAGTACAATGTGATGCCTTTCGGTTTACGAAACGTCGCACAGTCATTTCAAAGGCTTATGGATTGTGTCCTTCGCGGCATCGACTATTGTCATTGCTACATCGATGACATTTTAATAGCGTCACCGAACGTGGAAACACACCGCGTACACCTACTTCAGATATTTCAACGATTACAAGAACACGGGTGATCCATCAATGCAGCAAAATGCGTTTTTGGCAAAGAAGAGGTTAGTTACTTAGGTTATACTGTCAATAGTCAAGGCACTAAACCTCTGGATAAGAGAGTGGAAGCGATTAAGAAGATGGAGAAACCAACGAACATCAGCGGACTCAGACGTTTCTTAGGAATCATAAATTTTTACAGAAGATTTATTCCTAACGCTGCACTCACGCAGGCTCCGCTTTATGAATATCTGACGAACGCCAAGAAGAAAGATAAGCACCCTATAGCATGGAATGAACGTGCAGATAAAGCCTTCCAAGAATGCAAACAACAAATAATAGACGCAACTCTATTAGCACATCCGAGAAAACATGCGGTCCTGGCAATAAAGTCAGATGCCTCAGATGCAGCAATGGGTGCCGTTTTGGAACAATATTACCAAGGAAATTGGGAACCCCTCGGATTCTTTTCAAAGAAATTCAGTTCCAGCGCAGAGAAATTATAGCACATATGATCGAGAGCTCCAAGCCATTTACAGCAGCCTCAAATTCTTCAAATCAATAGTAGAAGGTCGCAAACTCATAATAAAAACCGACCATAAGCCGTTAACCTATGCCTTCTTACAGAAGTCTTCGAAAGCATCACCAAGGCAATTAAGGCAGCTTGATTTCATTGGTCAATTTTGCACGGAAATCATCTACATCAAAGGTGAGAACAACACAATAGCCGATGCACTGTCACGCGTCGAATTAATCGACATGCCAGTCGTCGTTACAACCGAAGAACTTGCGCAGGCACAGCATACCGACGAGGAACTCAAAGACCTACTTCAAAATGAAGCTCAATTACTGCAGCTAAAGAAAATTCGTGTAGACAATTCCGATACCGTCGTTTATTGCGACATTTCCAAGGAAGAGGTACGGCCCTATGTACCTAGAAGCTTACGAAAAAGAGTATTTGATGTCACACACCGTCTAGCACACCCCAGTGGACGCGTCACTTAAAAAATTATTGGACAACGATTTGTATGGCCAGCAATGAATAAGGACATTACCGAATGGGTAAGAACTTGTTTACAGTGCCAGAAAAACAAGATCCACAGACATAACCGACTTGAATCAGAGCATTTCCCAGTGCCTGATACAAGATTCGATCACGTGCACATGGATATAATTGGACCGCTACCCAACATTAAAGGATACCGTTACTAATGATCGATCGTTTCACAAGGTGGTCTGAAGCAGTTCCAGTTCAAGATATTTCAGCGGACACCGTCGTGGATGCACTTTTTCATACCTGGATAGCACACTTCGGGTCGCCCATGACAATCACTACCGATCAAGGAGCACAATTTGAATCGCAACTGTTTAGATCTCTGACTAATCTTCTGGGATGCAAACGTACAAGGACTACAGCGTATCATCCAGCATCAAATGGGATAATTGAACGCTGGCATCGTTCTTTGAAAACTGCAATCCGTTGCTATGAATCTAAAAATTGGTTACAAGCATTACGAGTTGTTCTATTAGGGTTGCGCACCAGCATCAAAGAAGACATCAAGGCCACAGCAGCAGAATTGGTATATGAAACTACCCTACGTTTACCAGCTGAATACTTTTTCAAAGAAGATGTTGCACCAGAACCAGAGACTTTTATACAACATTTCCGAGAGCACATGCGGAATGTCAGGTCTACGCCAACAGCTCATCACAGTAAAAAGAAGACATTCACACATAAGACTTTATATACATGTACCCACGTCTTTGTGCGAGTGGACAAAGTAAGAGGCCCACTAGAACCACCATAGATAGAAAGACCGTACCCGGTAAGCGAAAGAATTACAGATCATGTATTTAAAGTTCTTATTAAAGGAGAGGCAGTTAACATCTCTGTGGATCGCCTTAAACCGGCATTCATGGAAGCAGGATTTGAGGAGGAAGGCGAATCGTCATCCACGCAAGCCACGGAAACCACCAAATTGAAAGTCTACTCAGGCAAACGCGTTACATTCGCGGCTCAGTCTTAAGCTGCGCCACTCGAGGGGGAGTGATGTAGCGTCCATTCACTCTTCCAATGGCAATTTGGGGATTTCTCGTGGACAAACCACGGGACGACCAATCACAACGCGACTCGCGACAATAGCGCCACACTAGACACGACACGACGCCACGCTAAGCTTAGCGTCTCTTATGTATTATTCTTTCTTAATTCTACTTCACTTTTTCTAAAAGGATTTAGACACGCTTAAAAAGACTCTAGTTTATATACCAAAGATAATTGTTATTTTTGAATAAAGACTGATTTTCTATTATTGAATGGCGTGCATAAATATATGTGTTGGATACCCAATCCCTACACCGATAACTGCCGCCACCAACATATAACGGGTGGCAGAGAAAGCTAACGATGCACTTAAAAACGCATGCACGAGGCCGGAGAAACACTCGCCTCCGGATAGCAAAAACAGCAAGTCTTGTAGATCTCTGTGATAATAAAGTCAGATATTTCAAATATAAGATAATTATCTAGTTCGATTCCGTCTTACTGGTTATTCTACTCTCATCCTACGCTTGGCAAATCATCTGACATACGATTTATCGGATCATTGCTATACCTTTCAACGTGTTGTAAAAACGCGGCAAAAATGCAACATGACCTATCATAAAGTATATATTGCAAATGTTATGACATAAATGTTATCTGTAAGTTACCAATTACTTGTAATTTTTCAATCATAAATGTAGGATGTAACATGTTATATCATAATTATATTGAATACACTTGATATAAATGATTAACATAATAAATAAACAATTAAATTTTAATAGTTAATTTAACTAATTTTAAACAGTTTATTCAGAATTCTGTATTGGAATCGTATCAGATATTAAACTGATAGAAATAAATACGTTATTAATTTTGTTAAGCTGCATTTGATTTTACCTTTGTATTTATCCATAACAAAAATTTAAATATAAGATAAATACATCCTATAGGCACATCGTGTGGCGAACAGAGAAATTATAATTCAATCTAATATATTTTGATATTGTTATGATTCTGCTTGCTACTATTTTATGATACCAGACGAGCTTAATTTCTGCCGATACATTATGATGTTATTTTGATTCAGTTTCTAACATATTTTGTACCAATATGCAATGTTTAAAATCTATTGTTTTTAGATCAAGAACTTCTTAAATTTTTGCAGCATATTATAATACAAAAATTTGTTTCTGTCTTATATTTCCGGTCAGGACCGGCGTAAGGATGGGGCGAGCGGGGCGGTCGCCCAGGGCGCCGTTTTTGGGGAGGGGCGCTATGAGTGGCCTTCACTTGGATACAATACAATAGGACACGGTACGAAACTTTGCATACGGTTCAATTGGACACAGTGCATTTGGACACAATAATTTTGGACACAGTAGCTTTTGGACACAGAAGAAAATTTATCTGGATACCGTTCAGTTACACACCGTTCAGTTGCACACCGCTCAGTTGCACACCGCTCAGTTGCACACCGCTCAGTTGCACACCGCTCAGTTGCACACCGCTCAGTTGCACACCGCTCAGTTGCACACCGCTCAGTTGCACACCGCTCAGTTGCACACTGTTCAGTTGGACACATAAAAATGCACATCGTTCAGTTGGAAAATCTGCGACTTGTGCATTTGGACATGACAAATGCTTGATAAGATGTCGCGGAACAAGAAGTGGATTAGTTGACACACACGCGGGGGGGGGTGCAAGAAGGGGCCTTTGGCCCCCCCCTTCATGCACCCATCCTGGTAGGATGGGTCCCCGTTTGCGGATGGATATTGGTGCGCATCTTACTGATGTGCATTTTTTGTGTCCAACTGAACGGTATGCAACCTAGCGGTGTACAACTGAGCGGTGTGCAACTGAGCGGTGTGCAACTGAACGATGTGCAACTGAATGGTGTCCAGATAAATTTTCTTCTGTGTCCAAAAGCTACTGTGTCCAAAATTATTGTGTCCAATTGAATCGTGTGCAAAGTTTCATGTCCATTTGCACCGTGTCCAATTGTACTGTGTCTAAGTGCACCGCTCCCGGGCGCCATAATGTTAATGAACAAATCGAAATAGGCCGGCATGACACGCGCCTGCCTAACGCGCGCCAGTCATGATGCTAATACGCGCCGCCGTCACTACATGGCGGCGTGGGAAACCCCAATTCGTAAGGAGAGAACGGTCAAAACATCGACATATAGAATGGACTGCTGATGGAAGGGGAATGAGAGCCGCTATAAAGTCTGATTGGTTGGTAAAAAACATCGACATATAGAACCAACCAATCAGACTTTAGAGAGATAGAAAGAGGCGGAACGTGACCTCATATTATCTGTCTCTCACTCTATTCGTACGGCTCCCCATCCCCTTCCATTAGCAATCCATTCTATATGTCGATGGGTCAAAAGAGGTATATTGAAAACCATGAAATGAGGCTTGGGACTCTTGATCTTCTCGCTCGAGTTAGAGTTCTTTAGGGCCTCTACTCTGTCTAGTATAATTGTATGACATTTCTTAATTTTTAAGCTGATTTGATTGTTGAATAAGAGTTTTTTCTCCAAAAAGTGTCGCATTATAAAAAACTCTCCGGTGTCCAGAATTTAAAACGAAAATGTAACAAGTAAAAAGACAATGAAAAAAGTGCTAAGAAAATGATAAATTTTTTTTATTCGTAAGCAGCGAGTGGAAGCCGGAGAATGTTTGGTGGAAGAAAATCTCTCTGAACAAAACGAAATCTGTCGTCAAGGAGAGAACAAAGATAACACAGAATCCAAAGTGTTTCCGTTTCTATCAAGTCTTCAAAATGCAGACTATGAAGATATTGTCAAGTGGCCATCATCCATCAATTCCGCAATGATTAATGAAATCGTTATTCATGGCCCTATAAATGATAAAATTCAAGATGAATATCCTCATAATAGTAATGGAAGTCACTTTTCCAAAGTACATTTTCAAAAAGTCATGCTTAATGGAGAAATCTATAAACGAAGGTGGTTGGTTTATTCTCAGTCTACAGATAAAATATATTGTCGTTGTTGTAAATTGTTTTGCCAAATCCATAACTCTAATTTGAGCAAAAAAGGTTTTAATGATTGGAAACATTTATCGGAGCGTCTTAAAAGCCACGAAACATCTCCTGATTATTTACGCGCTATGGAAAATTAGATAGAGGCTTCGAAATGCCTGAAATCGTTGAGCGGAGTAGACAAACATTTACAAAAGCAGATTAATGACGAGAAAATGCGATGGATTTCTATTCTTAAGCGGTTAATCGAAATTGTTTTATTTTTATCAGGGCACAATTTATCTTTTCGAGGGAGTTCTGATAAGTTAAACACTTCCAACAACGGTAATTTTTTAGGATTAGTTGAATTATTGGGAAAATCTGACCCTGTTATGATAGAACACCTCGACGCATTACATACAAAGATACCTTTATTCACTGTTGTAGTAAAACGATTCAAAATCAACTGATCAAATTACCTCGAGGCGAAAAAAAATTTTATCGATGGTAAAAAAAGCAAAATATTTCTTCGTCATATTGGATTACACTTCTGATGTAAGTCACGTCGAGCAATTGTCTATCACATTACGTTTTGTTGATGTTGACAAAGTCCAGATAAGAGAATGTTTTATTGCTTATAAGCCGATAACTGACTCTACAGAGGAAGGACTAACTGGCCTCTTTCTCGACAATATTATACAAAATTACGATTTAAATATGAACGATAGTCGTGGACAGAGATATGATAATGGAGCAAATATGAATTGGAAAAGATAAGGGCGTGCAAGCGAGAATTTTGAAACACTTTCCAAGAGCTTTTTTTAATCCATGTGATTGTCACAGTTTAAATCTAGTCGTAGCAGACGCTGTAAAATCAGGACGGAATCCGATAGCCGACGGGATCCGATAGTCCCAATTGGCTAATTCAAAATAGACCTTTCTGATTGATTAATCGTTACTGGTTGTCCTAGGCACAGGTCGATATGATTGGACAATCGGGTTCATGGGCAAACGGGATCTTTCCGTAAAATCATCGGTAAAATCTATATCTTTGTTCGGAATTCTCTAAAGATTATTTGTGTTATTCTCTACCTCAACGAAGTGATGGGATATAATGAAAAAATATGTCAAGTTACTATCATTAAAAAAAATTTGTAAAACTCGATGGCAGAGTAGAATTTCCAGTCTTGAAGCCGTTCGTTTTTAGTATCCGAACATGATCGATGTCCTCATTAAATTCTACGAAGAGACAAATGATCCAGTCGCTGCGTTAGAAGCTAATTAGCTAAGCACATGGAAGGGTTTGAGTTCTTATTTACATTAGTGATTTGGTACGACATCTTATTCCAAGTTAACATTGTAAGTAAGGCTATGCAGTCGGAAACTATGGCTATATCAAATGTGTCGAAATTGCTAGAAAAGTGCTTGACCTTTGTAACAGAGTATAGAAATACTGGTTACTCAACGGCAATAATTACAGCCAAGGATATAGCTAGCGAAGCTGAGATCGAGCCAGTTTTTAAAGCAATTCGAATTCGAAGAAAGAAGAGAATGTTTGGTTACGAGGCATCAGATAAAATGCCATCAGAGCCTGAAGAATTGTTCAAAACGACCATTTTCTACCCAATAATCTATTGAAAGAGCTTTAAAAACTCATTTCGAACAACTATCAACATTTAATACCATGGTTCTTTTTATATAATTTAAAAACTATATCCGATAAGGACTGCAAGAAGCATGTATTAATTTAGAAGCTACGTTGACAGATGGCGATAAGTCTGATAT